GCCATAAAATATTCTACGAAGGTGGCACAACTTAGGTCCCGTTTGTATAAAGAAAACCTTCCTGGGAAAGAGGGCCACCCTCCCAGCCCAGACAGTTTTTTAGCATGTGCTCCGCGTATGAAACGTTCACAAACGAGTTATCTAGCGAAATTGGTCTCTCTCGCGTACAAACTTTCTCTACGAACTTCATTCTCCATCTCAAACGCTTTGCGACAAGAAAAGTTTTGACCCCTCTACATAAGCCAACAACAATGGCGCATGCTCTGATTATCCAAAAGAGTGCTCCAACACATGCACTTTTTCTCTCGCCTCGATCGAGTTCCCTCGCGGCTGGGAGAGCAAGTTTAAAAAAATTCTTACTTGGCGAGGCCACTTGAATCATCTCCAGACGTACTAAGCACATCTGTTTCTGCTGATTAGAGGTGGGTAGATGTATTCCATAAATTAGTTACGTGTCAGAAAGAGTGCCCTGGCTACTTCAACAGATCGAACCGATAGAATCAAATCAAACACCATTTAATAATATATAATAATAATAATAATAATAATAATAATAAATTATATTCTATTTATTTATAGCGCTTATTTTGTTATGAGTCCACAAGCGCTTCACGTTGATAAAAAATTGAAATTTGCCTTAAAAATTAAAAATAATAATCTCAAAATCTTGAGATATAAGTTCATAAAAAAGGCCATTTTGAAAAGAAAAGTCTTCAGGGCTTTCTTAAAACAACCTGCAGAATCGCATACTCTTAGCTCCCGTGGAAGGGCATTCCAAAGCTGAGGGGCACATGGTAAAATGCCCGGAACCCGTACGATTTTAAATTAAAAGATTGTGTCTTCAGAAGCTGTATTTTCCAAAACAAAGGCTACTACAAGGTCTATACGGGTATAATAGATCCATTTTCACCGTTTTCATCCTTTTATGCATCAAATGTATATTATATAAATTTATACATTATATACTATATTCCGTTCGACCGCTTTGCTATAGAAAAGATAGGAGGTTGCACACCGTAAATGATCTAATAAACACCCGCGGCGTTTTTAAAATTTTAAGTCTAAGAGGGGGCGTTTATTCTCGAAACTTATTTTAACGAACTCAACTAAAATGTATACATTATGCTTTCGGCCAAAAACGTTTTTTTTTGTTAACAGAGTGTCGACTGCGGGCTGACGGTTTATCCTTACTTTAAACAATAAATTGTACATGACATAATACACAAAACGATACCAAGCAAGCTATGAAACTGATTGATTTTGCTCTATTTCGCCATTTCCTAGTATTTTGGAACAATTTTCAAGGGGCGTTTATTAGACTGGGGGCGGTTATCAGACATGGAGGGCGGTTAATACAAACTTAAAAGCGTAGAGGGAGGGGCGTTTATTACTTGGGCTCACTTAAGGGCACAGTAGTACATTATTTAAGACCAAGAGAGAATTATCTCATTCTCTCTTGTTAAGACACACTCTATTTTTTTTAGACTATCCATCTGTGAGTGTAAAGAAGTGTCTAGCCGTTTATTAAGACTCTCATTGGAATAAAATTTGCTTGCAACAGTTATTCTCAATATCTATACTGAAAACGATTCTTGGGTTATTTTTTTTCTCAAAGACGGCTTTTAAGCGCTAAAGTGCTAAAGTTAAAAAGGGCATTAGAACGAATTGCGTTAGGGAAACCCGTTCTATTTCTTCACTTCTAAAGTGTCTGTTCACTGAATATCTTTAGCAAAAAGGTTGCGGTTCCTGTGTCCTCTACTTCTAAATTAACATAGGCTGCTCTTATATATATTCCGAGTTGATCTGGTGCTGGGGTGATTAAATTAAACTTGTAAAAGTCTAACTTTAGCTATTGTTTTCAGACTCTAAAACAGTGGCTACTGTAAATTTCTTAAGTAAATTACAGTTGCAAATGTTTTATTAAATTCACGCAGGAAATTCATCATACAAAAGAGAGAACAAAGCGGCATGGGTGTCTTCAAAGGTAAATACGTTTGCTGTAGGCTAAGTGACAACCAGAACCTCATTACAGAAATCGGTTTCATCTTCTCCGATGCAACACCTTCTCCTAGCTGGATAAATTCTAACACGTTTACTTAGTTTCAAGGGTTCTGTTTATTCTAAATGATTAAGTTAATTGGTTACAAACATAGCTACAGAGTACCGTAAAATTCCGAAAATAAGCTTATTTTTTTTTAGGCTTATTTTTTTCAAAGGCCCTTTTTAAGGGGCTTATTTTTGGAGGGGCTTATCTACGGAGGGAAATTTGCGTTTCAAGATCGATTGGGCTAGCCTTATAGTTGAAGGTAAATTTACCGTTTTTGCTTTGTTTTACTTTGTATTTGAGGGTAATTTTCCAAATACAAACCCCCGGGGGCTTATATATGGAGGGACGATTTAACAGAGGGGTTTTTGCGTACCGGTTTGGGGGGCTTATATTTGGAGGGGCTTATTTTCGGAACTTTACGGTATCCATATGCTACCTGCTACTTATAACGCCAAACTCGTAACAATAGAAACAAGCCATAGAAACTGGCCATCACTGAAAATGTCTCAAATTAAGTGCGCGAGGGATATCCTCTAGGGAAAAAACTCCGAAAAACCTCAGCTGAGGCAGAAAGTGATGTACGGCCGTAGTGATTTAAATGCACATCACTTCAAGAGTACACTTACGTATACCGGTAATTGTTTTGGGGGTTTTATGTAACCGGGTTCTGGCACCGACGACTAGCTTTGTTTGGTCAGCTCCACAAATAACTAATCGATGGGACTGACAACGATGAATAATCGATGAGTAATCATTGGGCAATCATTTGATTAGTCATTCAAAATTCTTTATAATCAATTACTAATCTATGACATTGATTACTCATTGATGTAGCCTGCATGGCAAGCGTTTCCACGTGAGTTCGTCTAGAAAGAGCAAAAAAAGAACAAGAACTTGATTGGAAAGGTTTGCTTTGAAGGCTATCATTGATGTCATGGATGGGTAATTGATGCATTCGATTACTCATCGATTATCTAACAATTATCTATCGATTTCACTGATGCCATTGATGTCATCGATTAGATACGTCAGTAGGTGTCACTTTTAATTGTTATGTACCATTTCCGTCGCGGAATTTTTTTACACAAACGTCAATTTTATTCATCCTTTGCGGACGGCCATCTCTACACTGATCTCCAGCAAAACGTTCAACACATGGATCAAGATCATGAACAGAGAGTTTTCAACTGCGCATTTACCGAGGCAGTTAACGAGGGATTGGAATGCGTAGTTTGGTAAGTAAGCTCACTTTTAAATTAACGACAGTGCATCCAACTCGATGTGTTGCTATATCTGTTCAATGCTATCAAATGAGGAGCGAACCCACCAACATATTTCAATGTTTAAAAAGCATTTCTTGTCCTTTTGCCTCTTGATCAGCGCCCCTTATTCACATCTTAACAAAAATCTGCCACGATTTGCGGTGATTTTGGTCGATCAACTCAAATGATGCAGTCGAATTTTTATGTAAGACCGGTTCGCCGGTCGTGGTTCATGTGTTTCCTTCTCCAATGTAAGTTAGTTCCATCAAAGTCAGTGTTGATCACAAAAGTTTCAACAAACCGGGGCGGCCGAGTTGTCATTGAATATTAGTTTGCATTGTTTGCTTTGGGAGCGAAAAATGAAAGCGTTTCATTCTTTTCTCGGTAGTCACCAAAAAACGAGGTTAACTGGAGATAAAAATCATAGTATGACAAATGCCAAGCTGATAGAAATAGCGAGCGTTTTGTCAAAATTCCAAAGAAACCTCGGTTTCTTTGGGAACAACTGAATGCTTAAGTAGCCGAATAAAACAACGAAAATTTGCTAAGTCATTTTTTGGTGAGCTTGCGGTTTTATTTTGTCTATTTTCGTGCTAGATTGAAATGGAGCGCAATGTTCAACAAGTCTTTCCAATTTTGCAATGAAGTAATCGGATGCGATAAAAAATATATATATATATACCCGTGATTGATTTTTCTGTAGAATTAATCCCCACCTTGTTTCATATCTTATCTCCAAGCAAGCTGGGCTAAAAAATTTTTTGTAAACGTCCTTGTCGGTGGTACAATGCAATGGCGTGGGCATGGGGGCAATTCAAGCACTAGGCGCTCCGGCTATTGTAGGCGCAGTCTCACAAGGATACTTTTACTGTGATAAATGACCTGACGTTTCTCTTAGCAAATCGCCGTTTTAGGCTACGCACGTTAACGCATAGTCACGCAAATTAAATTCAGACAAGATAAAAAGTGCCGATAAACGAGAAGTGGAAGTACGAGCGACCTTTCACGCAAAAATCAGTAAAGAAATCGGTAAAGCGTGACGTAAAAGCGCGCGAGCCTCACCCCTAGGGCGTGTAGGGCGAGTCTCTCCCCAGTCTTGCTCTCTGTTTTCAGCCTTGTTGCAGACCTTCTGTTTGACTGCTCTCGCGTACTTGACACAAACGGACTGTTTTACAGTTTATCGCGGGCTATTCCTACGTGAAAAAATCCTCGAAAAAAGGGCAAAGCAGGTTTCCTTTTTCGCTAACACGACGATAGCGTAAAGACAAATTGGCCTTTTTAACGGGTCTCTTTCGCGCTGCAGAGAGAAACATCAATGTTTACATTTCACATTTCACAGGAGGGTGAAAGTAAAAACTCCCGGGTAAAAGATAAACTGCGAGGTGCGGGAAAGGAAAAAAACAGCGGATCAATGAATTTTTGATTTGGGGTTCCTAAGTTAGGTCCAAATAGCAATTACATTTGAGAATATTGCAGGAATCAAGTCTAGTGGCTAAATGCGATGCACGTTTTATGAAATATATGATCCTGTCAATGTAAGAATTTCATTCCCAAACAAGAGTCTTCATCAGGGCCCCACACGGCAATCATTTGAAAAAAAGAAGAAGAAATTGTTTCCCCCGAGTAAATAATAAATAATTAACGATATTAAATACTAAGCAATAAATTCCAATTATTATAGTCTAAAGGTCATGATGAAACCAGTCACTTTGAGATGTGGCCACTCTGGGTGTATGGACTGCCTGAATAGCATCATTAGTCTGTCAAGTAATACATCAGTCTCAAGAGGTCCATGCCCGGTTTGCCGTCAACCGTTCCACCTTGATGAGCTACACCTCAATGTCAGCCTGGACAAGTTGACCAGGGGTCTGAAACTGGAGTGCTGCAATAGGGATTGTCAGTGGAAGGGGACACTTGACGAGGCTCGAGAACACGGGAAGAATTGCCCAAAAGCGGTGGCAAGTTGCCCTCACGAAGGGTGTCCGAACGTGAGTACAAGGGAGGAAATCGAAAGGCACCAGGATGACTGCCAATTTAGAAAACTCGAGTGTCTGGGCTGCAGGACTCTGGTGCGAAGGGCCAACCAGCAAGATCATGAAACAGACGGATGCAATTACAGTAGAGTGGATTGTCCCCTTGGATGTGGCACAAAGTTGCCTAGGTATGAAAGATCTATGTATATGCACCTATACAATAAACGTTCCCAAGCATCATTTATCAATAGATGTTAATAAACATATAAAACACAGGTAAAGAAATTACACAATTATTGGGAACACATATTTCGACCGCACAAATCAGTCTTCTTCACGGCAAATGAAAACCGTTACACACGAAATTCGACCTACTATACGCTACTACAAGTTAACTACATGGAACGTAACGTGCGCGCATGATAATTTTATGTTGCAGAGCCCATGTGACCATGCACCAGCATACTTGTGGAAAGAAGGCAGCCAAATGTATAGTGCCTGGTTGCACACGAATTTTTGTTAAACAAGACATGGAGGCTCACCAATTCAATGCAGCCACGTCCCATAGCGCCCTGCAATTTGGGGAAATACAGAGACTGAGAGCTCTAATTAATGAAAAGGTACAAAAATCAACATTTTTCTTGTTTTTAGCGTACATGAATCTTCTTGGTAAGTTAGAAAAGTGTAACAATTGCATGTTGGTACAAGGGACCGAAACGATTGCTGTTTGGCTATCCTCATCCTCATCATCATCATCATCATCATCATCATCGTCATCGTCATCGTCATCATAATAATAATAATAATTATGATTATTATAAAATTGTCTATATTGTAAAGTAAATGTTCTGGTGCTCTTCTTGTGCTTCAGCCGGGCGCAAACTAAGCAGCTGTAGCATCATTCACTTGAGTAAAAAAATCTGTTAGTACGCTATGCACTTTCCCGAGCATTCGCGTAGATACCAGAACGCAGATCTTTTGGATCTCTGTCACAGTAGCTCTCTTCTTCACTTTCTTGATGTTGTCTACCATGCTCTTCTTTACTGTACCAAGTGCACCAACAACCATATAGAAGGGGATGACTGATTGCTGGATTGAGTTTCGACACTTAATGGAAGTTTAAATTATGTACTAATATCTGAATAATTAGGTAGTATTAACTGGGAACTGAGTGTCGTATTTATGATTGTAAAGGGGTTCGCAGAGCGTTGGCAAGAACAAGAGCAGTCGGTTCATTCTTTCCGGTGGACTGTGAAAGACTTCCCAACGCGAATGAGAGACTTGGTTGATAAGAATGAAGGGCCACTTACCAGCGGTGAATGGACTACACCAAATGGCCACAAGTGGAGGGCCATTTTAACGCAAGATCTGAAATTATTTATACAGCTGGTCGCCGCACCCTTCCCAGCTAGAGTGGAACTCAGGTAGGAGGACTCCGTATGTACCGACGAACAAAAGAAGGTTGATGAATGTTGCCTGAAGAAAAAACTAGACCGCCAGTTCTGATTTTAGTGTCGGACCGTTTTCAGATATAATTTACAATGAACCGGTCATCAAGTTATAAGTTCATAAAAAGGAAAGATAAAACAATTAAATTGGACATTCTCAATACATCGTGTCTCAGACGAACTGCTCACTGTTATAGGCGTTTTGCTTTTTGACTTTTCACGAACTTGGACCGATTTTGAAAGTAGATGGGGTTCCTATTGTACAAAATACATCGAAACACTAGTTTGAACAGTTTAGCTCTACCTGATACTACTGAATTTTCACACCACAAATTAACAAATTTTTGCTGATTGGTAAATGATGGTGGTGAGTCACATTAAAGATGTAAATGAATGAAACTAGCGTCTTTTTTTTTATCGATAGAATTGTGTTGTCGCCCGGAGAGGTGGAGGAAATAACTCATATTCTCTCGACGACTACACTGAAGGAAGGAGAGATGTGGGGGCACGATGTGGCCAACATCAATCGCTGGGTTGATGGTGAAGGAAAGCTAATTGTCAAGTTCATTATTCTTTACATCGTATTATGATGGAATCCATCAAGAAATTAAGTAAATTTAAAATCCCAGTGTAAAAAAAAAAGCCTTTTACCAGAATATCGCATTCATTTTTCAAGGGCTATAGATGTAATTGCTTTTCTGCAATAACGCCAAAGAGAATTATTTATGGGAGTTCGGATAAAAATGACAAATTTCACAAATTGCCATCTTGCAGATGAAATTTTCAGAATTTTACCTTTGTTTCACAGTCGCCGGTTCTATTGAAATTTGTTATTTATTTTCTCGGAATCCCATCGTAAATCGTCTTTGGTGTCATCACAGATAACTCATCATGTTTATATCCCTCAAAAAGTCTCAAAAGAAGGTCGTATTCTGTAAATTATTCTGTTACAAGGTTTTTGTCCAATGAACATTAAAATTTGCTGAATTTCCTAATGGATTTCATCTAATAACGTCACAATGCAACACCAGGGCCTTTGTTTATGGCAGCCTCTAAGATTAAAAATAAAACCAAAAGCTCACATGAGCGTGTCCATGGTGAAACGGTTTGGATTGCTCAGAACAGAGTTGATTTTGCTTTTCTTCGTTCATACATGTATATAAAGGATTAAACTATTTAGCTCTTAAAAGCCCATGTTCACCAACGTGACTTTGTGAGCGGGTGTTTTTGTTTTGAAACCCTTCCTTTGTCAAATTCAGAAGGTGGTTTGATTGGGCAGAGTGTTCGTTTTTTTTTCACGCATGGCCAAAGTGTCACTCTACACACACAGAGGGGAGAAACTTTCAACTTCGCCAAATTATTTTTCTGTAGTATAGGGCAAGCAAAGCCGCATGGGTGAACAAGGGCCTTTTTTTAAAAGGCAACTGAATTAGCCCTTGGTTGTACGTGACGTTTTTGGCCTCTCTCGTTATAGCTTGAGTATCAGGCGTTTCTGAGTGAGAAGGGGGAAGAGAGGAGCGAACAAGGAGAGAGCTAAAATCTCCTCTCCGGTAGCCCATAAGGATGGCCTGATACTCAGGCTACCGCCGTTATAGGTTTAAAAGTAGAATAGTAATATCAAATCATTATATTTTTCTGTTTCGTTAGTCAAGTACTTCGTTAAGGCCCGAATACGAAAATATATTTCCACAAAAAACATTGCATAGAAAACTAAAAACAGATTTGATGAGCGCTATTAATATCATTAATAATAATAATTGATTATAGCCATGTACGAATAATGTGTTTCTTGAAAATAGCAGTTGTTACCTTTATAGAGCAGTGTAATTTTTTTTTGTAAATTATCAACTTTATTTATTGAGTGGTTACCATTAGTCGAAGCCACACCATCTCATAATGATTGAGCCGCTATACAATAGTTAAGTTCTCTTAAAAGCTTCAACAAATGATTTTTTTTGTTAGTATTATCAATTGTTCTTTATTTTTATCCTCTTTTGTATGGCCGCTGGCTAAGTTGATTTGTGTGAGAACCTTTAATATTATCCTCAGTTGAAATGCAAATAGAATTTTTCTCTTTCTTATCAAAAATGTTGTTGTCGTACTTATTTGCTGGTGTCTTTTCAATCTTATTTTCCATTTTCTATCATTTTTCTATCTATCATTTTCTATTTTCTATCTAGGGGTGCCCACCTTTTACAAAAAACAAAAAACTTTTAAAAAATCTTGCAAATATAATTATGACTATTAACTTTCACATAAAAAAGAACGATCTGCTGAAATGTAAAAGAGTTCTCTGCAAATTTGTATCACCTCACAATGGTTTATAATCTGAGGATTCCCAAGCGGAATGGCGCGAACCAAGGATTTTCGGCCTACCCATGTATAAATAAAGTATTTACCCCAGACGACCCCAGAAATTATCTACGCTCAATCCTTCCGTTGCCATTGCCCTTACAATTTCCCTTCTCTGATATTTTGAAGCCAGCGCATGGCTATTTTTTTTAGGGGATATCTTTCTGACTTTTTTGGACTTAACCTTCCCCAGGCAAATACCTTTTCTAAGTTTTGAACGAGTCCCTACGAAAACGAAAAATCGAGTCTCGTTTTGGGCCATACGTTTTAGAGAAAAATCGAGTCTCGTTTTGGGCCCTACGTTTTAGAGAAAAATCGAGTCTCGTTTTGGGCGCCACGTTTTAGTTTAACGTGTCTCGTTTTTGAAACGAGTCATCGAGACAGGTGGAAACGAGACTCGATTTCACGTTTTCGGTTGGACTGGCGAATACGTAATCGAGAGGCCTTAAAATCGAGACGATTTTTATCGAGTAATTTACGACACGTTGCCCAGAAACGGTGAATGATCCGAAAAGGCATGACATCATCGCTAAAATAGTGAGTCGAAGAGTAGCGTAATAGTCTCGCGCGCGTGCCTCACACTCCCGTATCTTTAGCGTCGGGCTCCCCAGTCTCGCTCTCCGTTTTCAGCCTCGCTTGGCTGTTGACGCGTACTTGAATACGCAAAAATACGGACTGTTTTGCAATCTAGCATTTTAATTGCTTTTGTACAATTCATTTTTGTCGATTTCTGGCAAAGAAAAAGTTATGTTTAGGACAGCTTCGTGAGCACGTTAAAACGAAAAGAAATTCTTTAATTCATTTATATCGGTCATATGAACATGATAACTTAAAGAAGGGTCAGGTTGACGCCTTTTGCAAGTTCACCCAAGGGCAATCCGCGTCTCACAAATCTTGTCCAATTTTGATTTATTTTGTCTATACACAGATTATTTGGCGGTTTCGTTTTAGTTCGCAACTCAAGCGATTATTTGGATATTTACTGACTGGCATGAAAACATGAAATAACTTCACTCCACTGCACAGTTTTGTGTGGTTCCATTTCCTGTTGTTTAAAATGAATGTGAGGTGGCTTGTCTTTGGCAGTATCTCCAATTAACTCTGAAGCATTTTCAGCATTATTTTTCATTCAGCCAGTGTTTTCTGATAGGCGAAGACTCCCTTGCACTTGGAAACAGAAGCCTGCCATCATGTAGATAGAAACCATTCTTTACATCGCCTAATCACCATTTGCTCGCTCTAAACTGTGCTCCGTTTCTGTATCTGGCCCCAAGGACAACCAGCCGAAAACTTCTTTAAGGACCAGTAGTTCCACTGTCATTACCACGAGTAGGGCGCAATGTGTTTAAATCCTCCGTCATCTCGATCACCTTTACGGTTAAATCTTTCCTGAAGTACACCGGCTGCTTCGGTTTGCACCGGCCCCTTCCCTGGATAAACCAGAAATCGTGTCAGCACTGTCATGAAAGGCTGCACTTTGCCGGCTACATACTTACATGAACACATGAAGATCTCATAATCATCATTTTTCCGAGCGAAGCGAGGCGCCAAGTGCCTCGCGCGAGGGGAACGCGTGAGGATCGTAAGCAGAGTGCGATTTGGCTTTGGTCATGAATCTTTCTATCGGTTGGGTGTCCGCAGTTGCCTAACAACAAAGTCGCGACGGCGTCCCAATTGACCTCAGCAGCGTGAAGTCATCGTATTAAAGCAGAGTGTGATTTAGCCTGCGAAGCGCAGACGTATTTCCGGTCGTCGCTTCTGGAGAGAAGCGACGACCGGAAATACGTCTGTGCTTTGCAGGCTAAGTGTGATTTGTTAGAACCGGTTTGCTATCGATGACAAACACCTTGATTATTAGCTGTGGTCACACTACAGACTTTTTACCTAGGTAAATTCGACTTGTTGACAGTTTACCTAGGGAAACTTGATTTTTAAAGTGTGACCGATTTTTCCCTAGGTAACTTACCTCGGCGAAATTTTATCGTCTGGGGCTTGGATATGTCTCGAGAACAATAGAGTTTCCCTTGACAGCTACCCCAAAGCAATAGCTAGGGAAAAATGAAATACCGAGGTTGCTAGCCAATCGACGCTCATCGGCGAAGGTCTTGATGACAGAACCGGACATAGCTCACGCTGTGAAAGAAATTTTGGGGGCACGAGTGGTCTACATCTTCGGCTTTCTTCACCTTGCACATTGAATTAGCGTAAGAAATAACAGCAAGATAAAAGAAAAAAAAAACCGTCTCTTTGATCAGCTAGATCCCTGCTCATCTTGCCTTCTTAAATTTACGCTCCAAAAAATTCAACTGGCGTGAAAACCTTGGGAGCCGATATCAGTAGTGTGACCTTCCCAGAATTTTTCACCTAGGTAAAACAAAACCCGAGATGAATTTACCTCGGGAAGTTTTTGATGAATCTACCCTAGGTAAATTGCTTTTACCTAGGTAAAAGTCTGTAGTGTGACCACAGCTATTGTCCGTGAAAAAATGCTTACAATCGTTGTATCACGACCACCCAAACTATAAACAAAAGAGAAGAACAGACGCAATATTGGTGAAACATTGAGGCAATTTGGGCCAGTATTTTCAAAAAATAGCGAAAATCAAGATACACTGAGCAATTTTTAGTGCGTCTCACTTCGCAGACAAGGTTGCTTTTGAATGTGTCGCGCGATGTTTCTCTAAAGTGCGTTTCAGTTTGGCTTTTTAATTACCGTCGAAACCTTGTCTTTTTCCCCTGAAATCTCCACTGGAATTCGTTTTACACTGTGGAAAACCCAAATTTATTAGTTTGCTGCGGGCTTCCCCGCCGATATATAGATCAAAGTGTGCAAAGTTTCAACTTTGTACTACGGACCGAAGTATAATAAAATCATGCGACGCACTGACATATTTGTGCTTCAAATTTTTTTTTCTAAATGCGGAGCCCGAAAAAATGCTTTTCAATACACTTTTAAAAATAACACCATACGATTCGCATAAAAGAAGAAGAAGAAAAAAAAGAACAACGTATGGACCTCCACGACGATATTCGCTGTAGGTCAGCCATCCAGTTCTTGACCCCGACCGACAGGGCTTAACCTGAGTGCCGCTACCAAACCGAGTTTCGCGAGGGTTATTGCTAGTATTTCTAGTATAAGCGATAATTGTGAGCGAGAAGGCTTATAAATTATTAACTTGTCTGAGTCATTGGTTCGCTCGGTTTTGAAGTTTTTAAGAACTCGACAGTCAGAGGCGAT